ACTAATTAGTCGACTAAAAGAAATTTTGACCAACTAGTAGTCGACTAAGGATTTTTTGGACGATTCCAACCTCTACATTATACTCTTACCAATAAGCTATAAAAATTCGAAATAACTGGGATAATAGTTAAAAAATTGGCATGTTCAGTTGGCAAGATCATTTTTGTTTTGGTTAAGACAGTATACACCATTAAAATTGAGATACATGCTAAATAATTTAACATTAAAACCTATTGAATTTATATATAATTAGCTTGGTAAACTGATCATTAAGTTTAGTAAAATTATGATAGAGAGAACTTACCATAGATGAGTATCCCAAATGTTTCAAATCCTGGTTTGTTGCCTATATCACCCAGGGATCCCTTCATGAATTCAGCAGGTTTTATCAAAGCTTTATTGACAACATTATTAGGTGTATATGGGGGTTTTATTTCTCCATAGATGATTTCATGTTTTTTATTATCTTTACTGAAGAGAAACCAAAAATCAGGTTTCCTTCCAATTGTGTGATTAAAGACTAGTGCTGTAATCCAAAAAAGGAAAAAATATGGTTGCAAAAGTGGTCACAAAGGTAATTGCAACCACTTTTTATATGCTGTAAATACAATTACTAACATCATCATAATTTACAGCACTAGTATTTATGCATGATTGTCAGATTTCTGTTGGTTTTTAGAGCTTCCATTGGCCCTTGAATTACAAATTTAAAGAAACAATAAATATATATTAAATAGTTGCATTATGAAGATTTCAGACACATTAAACTTACCAAACAAATTTATAATCATCTGTGTTAAAAACTTCCTCCAACAACAAATGGAGATACCTATGAGCAAAAGTATCTTCATCCATTTTATGATCGATATCATTTTATGTTAAGGTCAAGAAACTACAGAATATATAGCCATAAGCATAACAATAATGGTAACTGCAAATTCTTCATTAGGTTTAAACTTACAAGTTTCTCATAACAAGTTGTACACAGTCAAATATTTTTTCTCTTCATCTGTCATTGTAGGAATCCCATTTCGCCCAGTTTTGGTGCCATTTGTTAATTAACAAATACTTATCAGCTAGAAGCTAAACCACAAATAGGAATAAATTATTACTTTCATTAATTGCTTATTACAATGTTCTCAATATCCAAGAAAGTCATTACCATGCTATACTCCACAATAATGAGCTGAACAACAACTGGCAAGGTCATGGGTATTAGCTGTCTAGGTAATGTGTTCTTCTAGATCTGATTAGAGCATTGGATATATTCTGGTTTATCTTCTTTGACATACATTATTGAGGAGAGACATCTGAAATTATATGCAAAAGTTAAATATTGAAAAAAAAGCCTATGCATTGTTTGACAAGATATCTACAATATTTGGTCAACATCCGTTGCATATGAGAAGAATGGGTTGCTCTTCAATAGTTCCACTGTTTGTGTTTGGAACTTACAAAAGTCTTCAGAAATATTGTACCCATTCATGATCCACTATAGGAAAAAGATCAATGATTAATGTAGAAACTGGGATGAAATTTTTTTTTCAATACTCACATCATGATCTGAATTATGATCAATTGTAATTTTCTCAATAACATGCTTCCATGAAAGGATCATCTTTTGCTATTAAATCAATGAATATTCAAGAATTTGTTAGTTATTTTGAAAAACTATACAAATGATAACTTAATACTTTACCTTTTTGGATTTATTCGAAAGAGAAGAAGAAACAATAAACTCCACATCATCATCTGTATCATCATCATTCTGAAATATATGTAACATACAGATTAGTGATGTGTGATCATTTCTATTTACCTCAACATAAGGTAATTTTTTCTCAATATTTACAATATTCTCAGTAAGCTTATCAATATTTTCAAACTCATCACTGGTTGGTTGGCCAGCATCAACAACAATGTTTTGGTTACTTGATTTATTTTGTTTAGCATCCTTAGCTGAGATTTTACTTCCAGCATCTTCCATTGATCTATATACAAAATCAATGAAAATTTAATAGTTAGTTTGCATTTATTTTAATAACTAGAGTAATGACAAGTGGTGGGCGATAACCACCACCACCATTCTTATGATAAACAACACTTACCCAACAACTGCTTCATCAGCATCTTTTGATTGTTTTCTTTTTTTGGTATTTTTTTCAAATGACATGTCTAAAATCCTTTATAACTTCATGTATATAGAAACAGGATCCTTCCAGCATTTTTACTTTGCAACACACATTCA